TGAAACAGGGCAAGATACATTTGAGCCAGATATTATTGTTCAGTATAAGAGTTCTGAATTGGAGAGAATTAATTATTATCATCCATCATTAATGGCTTTACAATACCCAATTTTATTTCCTTATGGAGAGGATGGATGGCATCCGGACATAAGCTGTGATGATGATGATGATGATAATCTTTGGAATGACAAGACACTGTCCCAGTGTGATTATTATGCATACCGCCTACAGAGTAGATTTCAGGAGTCAAATTCGGTTTTATTATCTGGGAAATTATTCCAGCAGTATGTTGTGAATGCGTATGCATTAGTAGAGGCACAACGGCTTGATTGGATCCGAAATAACCAAACAAAACTTCGTTCCCATTATCTGAGTGGGTTAGTGGATGCATTCCTCCGTGGTGATTATGATTTAGAAATGACTGGAAAACATGTTATTTTGGCTGCTTCCCACACAGGAAGTCCACGGTACAAGTATGAAAACTTCCAGGATGCTATGGCTATTTGTAGGTGGTTGGGCTACCCAGATTTATTTATTACCTTCACCTGTAATGCAAATTGGCCGGAAATCCAGTTTATGGTTGATTTGGTAACCGCAGATGGTCGGAAAGATGTCAATAGATCTGATATTATTGCTCGGGTCTTCAAGCTTAAACTGCAGCAATTAATGTTTGAGATAAGAGATAAGAAAATATTTGGGACTACCACTGGATGTAAGTCGTACATGCTCCATAAGTGTTATTTTAGTTTTGAGCAATACTTTTGTTTCATATGTTTGAATTATTTTATGCAGGTTGTCCTTTACATAATAAGGTTTTGACAGGCTCCAACTTAATACATATTGTATTTGTTTGCAGTTGTGCTGGCAATTGAGTTTCAAAAGCGTGGCCTTCCCCATGCTCATTTGCTGGTCTTCCTAGCTTCGGAATGTAAACTAACTGGGCCGACGGCCATTGATTCCGTCATATCCGCAGAAATTCCAAACTCTGATATTGATCCAGAAGGCTATAGGGCTGTAACTGCTTTTATGCTGCATGGTCCATGTGGTCTTTTGGGCCGTAATGCTCCTTGCACAGAAGGTGGTGTGTGTACTAAACATTTTTCAAAGCCGTTTTGTGAGCAAACGACGATTGATGATAATGGGTTTGCCAAATATCGACGACGTGACAGTGGAATATCTTTTAAAGTTAACTCTGTGTCATTGGACAATCGTTTTGTCGTGCCGTACAATCGCTATTTATTATTGCGATTTGATGCACATATAAATGTTGAGTTCTGCAATAAATCCAGGTATGTTTTTCATATCACATATAATATTTATGCTCGACACTACTTTTTTATTCCCTTCCATGGAAAGTGCCAAATTTGGTAGCTTTTGGTGTGTTTTTTTTATTGGTTTAAACGTATCAGTTTGGTTGTTGCATGACTACTCATTAGTTTTGTTGTGTCCAATTTTTGTTTGACATGGTAGGGCAATCAAATATTTGTTCAAGTATATCAACAAACCACAAGATCGAGCAAAAGCTTCATTAGTTGACAATGAAACTAATACTGGAATTGAATCTGGTGCATCAAGTTCAAATCTCACACCACGAGTTGATGAGATAAAAGCATATCTTGATTGTCGGTATATCACATCTGGTGAAGCATGCTGGAGGTTGTTCAAGTTTGATGTCTACTCACAGTACCCATCAGTGTTGCGCATGTCTTATCATCTTCCTGGGCAGAATGTAGTTGTCTCAAGGCAGCATTCAAATCCTCAAGGTGTGCTCCAGTCTAAGCGTGCTCAAACCTCTATGCTGTTGGAATGGATGAAAATGAATAAGTTATTTCCAGAAGCAAGGAAATATACATTTGTAGAATTTCCGCAACATTATGTTTGGGATAAAACAAAGCAGGCGTGGCACAAGAGGAAATCCATGTTCAGTATTGGGCGGTTGTATTATTGTCATCCTTCGCCTACAAATGATAGGTTCTATCTGCGTATGCTTCTACATATTGTTCGTGGTGCTCAAAGTTTTGAGGACATCAGGACAGTGAATGGAGTTTTGCATAAATCTTTTAAGGAAGCATGTTATGCGCATGGTCTGTTGGCAGAAGATAATGAATGGAATGACTGTTTGGCCGAAGCGGCTCTTTGGGCATCCGGTAAAAAGCTTAGAACTTTATTTGTTACTATCATCAGCCTCTGTCAAGTTTCAGACATTGGGAAACTATGGGAGCGGAATTGGGCACTGTTATCTGATGATATTTTGTATGCCCGTCGGAAGGAACTAAATATGCCTACTTTAGAAATGTCTGATCTTCAGTTACAGGAATGTTGTTTGCTGGAGATAGATAAATTGCTTGCAAGAAATTGCAAAACTCTATCTGATTTTCCTGGATTACCAGTTATTGATACTGGTAACATGTCATCTTCATCTAATCGATTGATCACTGCAGAACTTAATTACAATGTTGCAAGTCTTCGTGAGCAATTTGAAGGTATGATTTCCAAGCTCAATGCCCAACAAAAAAAAGCTTTTGATGAAATTACTGAATCGGTGTATGCAGATAAGGGAAATGCATTCTTTATTGATGGATGTGGTGGGACAGGAAAGACCTTCTTATGGAAAGTGATTTGCTTGAAATTGCGATCGGAAAATAAGATTGTTCTATGTGTAGCTTCTTCTGGGATTGCAGCCCTTTTAATGGATGGGGGTCGAACGGCTCATTCTCGATTTCACATTCCAGTAGACCTTGATGGTAGATCGACATGTCATATTGACCAGGGTAGTGAATTAGCAGAGCTCATTCAGCGTGCTTCATTGATTATTTGGGATGAAGTTGTTATGTCACACAAGCATGCAGTGGAAGCTGTAGATAAATCATTGCGGGATATTTTGCGGTTTCGGTCTGAAAACAGTCAGGGCAAGCCATTTGGAGGTCTTACAGTTGTTTTTGGAGGAGATTTCCGGCAAACTTTGCCTATAGTATTGAAAGCTTCACGAGGTGATATTGTGAACTCATCTATAAAGAGGTCTTACCTGTGGCCCCATTTGAGGGTAATTAAGTTAGTTGAAAATATGCGGCTAGCACGATCTAATTGCTCTCCGGAGGAAACTGTTGAGATAACTACTTTCCAGAACTGGCTCTTGCAAGTAGGAGACGGAGTAGATTCAGATGTGTTTGGTGAGTCTTTGATTCGCATACCTCAGGAATTAGTAATTCCTCGACAGAGTGATCCTGTCATTGATATTGTCGCCTCTATATACAGTGATCTTAGTAGTCATGCAGGAGATCATAATTATTTAGTCAATCGAGCTATCTTGGCTCCACACCATGATATGGTTTCTGCAGTGAATGAGTATATTCTAAGTCAATTCCCAGGAGATGTAGTGGCATATTACAGCGCAGATTCTATTGAGATGGACCCTGGGAAGGAGGGAGTTGTGGATGCTGATTATTCAACCGAGTTTTTGAACAACCTCCGGATTGGAAACTTTCCAGACCATCAGTTGGAACTAAAAGTTGGGTGTCCAGTCATTCTATTACGGAATATGGATCAAACTGTTGGCCTTTGTAATGGTACTAGAATGGTTGTGAAGACTTTGGGTAAATGGTTCATTGAGGTGGAGATTTTGACAGGTACCAACATCGGTGATCGCGTCTTCCTTCCCAGATTGACATTATCAACCCATTACAAGAGTCTTAATTTCACCCTCATTAGAAGGCAATACCCTGTGGCTCTTTGTTTTGCCATGACTATTAACAAAAGTCAGGGTCAAACACTAGCCAATGTTGGTTTATGTCTTCAAAGACAAGTTTTTAGTCATGGTCAGCTATATGTTGCATTGTCAAGAGTTACTACAAGGCAAGGATTGAAGATTTTGAGTGGCAATGAGAATGGAGAGGAAGGCACTTCAATGGTGAACATAGTATTCCCAGAAATATTTGATTGATTTATATGAACTTCAATTCAGGTTTAACTTATGATTCCAACGTTTGTCAAATGCGCCGCTTATGGTTAGTTTACCCGCCCAACGGGCCGGGCCCTGCGCTAGTGTGTGATTGGTGGAAGAAATTGAATTTGCTTTATATGACGAAACGTCTAGCCAACGAGGGTTGTTTGAAAGAGAAGTTGTATACTGCTTGTATGACTAAAGGTATTCTAATTCATACCCACCTTTCTATTTTTAATCTAATTTTTATGGATTTGGAAAATATTGACTTGAAAATTGAAGATTTAGTGATTTGATGGTGCCGAGTGGAAGGGCCGTCGCTCAACGGATAAAAGTTACTCTAGGGATAACAGGCTGATGAGAAGATTGTTTTGCTAATATGCATGTTACCTAATTCCTTTAACCACTTTACAGACTACAGAGATCATGCAACAACAAAGAAAATGTGTGTGCTGCAACAAAGAAAATATCTTCAATCTACGGACTTTTTTTAAGTACCTTGTGAGATGTCCATGGAATATGAAATTACGCTAATTAATCAAAGTATTAACGCTCCTATTTCAATAAATTTGAGAATTTAATACCAACAATCTACATATTGAATCAAATAGAAAATACCTATCATAAAGAAAACCTCAGGAGGAATGAAGTTGTTCTTTCAAATAAGTTTGATAATTTCTTGAACTTAGTTGTAATTCTAAAAGCTTAATTATTCAAAATGGAGATTGCTGGTATTCATGCTTCAAATTTTATTACAAAGACTTATTAGAGCTACCACTTCGATTACGAGTTTTGTTTCATATCCCAAACCTATAAATTGGGGATTCTCTCCATAGCCATATATACCTTTCTTCCAACTCCTTTTTCTTCTAAATTTCAATATTTCCCTTGATCATGGTGGATTTACTAACTTCTACGGTTTGTATATCTCCCCCCCCCCCCCCCCGGAGGGTTTTCCGCACGTATATTGTGATGTCTTGCCTCTCTATTCCTTTTCTTCACTTCTACTTGTTTGATCAAATGACGTCAATATTTGATTTGGTTCCGCTCTGACAAATACACCCTTCCAAATACATTTTTTTTTTAATGTGTCTCCAACTTTGTTTTTCTGACAAATACACCCTTCCAACATAAACCTGTTACATGTATCTCTATATTTTGTTACAGGCAAACCTTGTAACATATCGTACCAAAGATCATACTACACAAATCAATGGAATAAAATTTATGTGATACCATTATTAAAATAATTATAAAATAAGAGTATATATTCAACTGGTAATATAATTAAATAATACATTCCCCATTTTACCCTACCTTTTTTCTACGTCAGATAACTTGTAAAAATTGTATTTAAGGTCTCCATTCCCTTCTCACTTAATCGCCAGTCGCCGCCGATAATACAGCAACCGCCGCCGCCAGACCCAACACCGGAAACTTGACGCTTGGATCTAACAATTGTATAGCAAGAACTTGGAGTCATTTAACTACTCGAAGAGGATCGACGGTGTGTAGATTTGAGGCCGCCGGGCTCACGCTCATCCATGCTTTCCCGGAGCTGATTTGCTCCCAGAGACCTCCCCTGAAAAAATTAATATGATTAAAGTATTTCCTCTTTCATTCAATCGATAATGAAATTGGCAATTCCTGAAAGATATAAAGAAAAAAGAAGAGGGAAAACTGACCAGCCGCGAGAAGTGCTCGGCGGGCAAAGGTTGGTTGAGCTCCCAAGATAAAGATAAGCACCATGATCAAGCTCATCAGCAGCAGGCGACGGAACAGAGTACTCTGGCTGATCTTCATAACTGCAGCTGTATTCATGATCAGATCAAAAAAAATTCTTTCTTCTTTTTTATCATCATAACAATTGTTGATCTCTCTAGCTAAGGTTAAATACTGGAGTTGGCCGTACGTACGTAATTAATCAACTACGACGGTGCGACCGAGCTCGGGGATTGACCAAGACTCTGCAGAGTGGTTGGTTGTTGACTTGTGCGTTAAGAGACAAAATGTTGTTCAGAAGGGTTACTTGGTCTACAAGTTAAAATGATCTTTGATTGATGACCAATTGGAAGAGGGTTGATGAAAAGGTTGTTGTCACAGTTAAATTGTACTTGTCTAAATGGGTTTTGCGCGACGTGGTGAGTGATGTGATATATGATCTACGATTGAACCTCTCCCAATAACTCGAGTTATTGGGACCAATTGGTTTATGACATGGTATCAGAACCTTTTGTGGTCGAGAGGTCTTGTGTTCGATTCCCGGTGACCCCCATTTGTTAAGCACACGGTATTCTTGTCTTCAGACCTGTGCAAACTTCGAGCCCTTGTGAGTGGCTTTCGTTTGAGGGGGGTTTTAGTGTTGTGGTATATGATCCATGATTGAACCTCTCCCAACAACTCGATTTATTGGGACCAACTGGTTTATGACATGGTTACAGAGCCTTCTGTGGGCGAGAGGTCTTGTGTTCGATTCTCGGTGACCCCCATTTGTTAAGCACACGGTATTCTTGTCTTCAGACCTGTGCAAACTTCGAGCCCTTGTGAGTGGGTTTCGTTTGAGGGGGCGTGTTAGTGTTGTGGTATATGATCCACGATTGAACCTCTCCCAACAACTCGATTTATTGGGACCAACTGGTTTATGACAAGTGAGACTGTTGTGTGATTTGGTGGACGAAATTGAATTTGCTTTATATGACGAAAAGTCTAGCCAACGAGGTTTGTTTGAAAGAGAAGTTGTACACTGCTTGTATGACTAAAGGTATTCTAATTCATACCCACCTTTCTATTTTTAATCTAAGTTTGTGGATTTGGAAAATATTGACTTGAAAATTGAAGATGATGAGAAGATTGTTTTGCTAATATGCATGTTACCTCATTCCTTTAACCACTTTACAAAGATCATGCAACAACAAAGAAAATGTGTATGCTGCAACAAAGAAAATATCGTCAATTTACAGACTTTGAGTACCTTGTGAGATGTCCATGATGGAATATGAAATTATGCTAATTAATCAAAGTATTAACTCTCCTATTTCAATAAATTTGAGAAGTAAATACCAACAATCTACATCTTGAATCGAATAGAAAATACCTATCATAAAGACAACCTCGGGAGGAATTAAGCTATTCTTTCAAATAAGTTGATAATTTCTTGAACTTAGCTGTAATTCTAAAAGCTTAATTATTCAAGATGGAGATTGCTGGTAGTCATACTTCAAATTTTATTACAAAGACTTAGAGATACCACTTCGATTACGAGTGTTGTTTCATATCCCAAACCTATAAATTGAGGATTCTCTCTATAGTCGTATATACCTTTCTTCCAACTCCTTTCTCTTCTAAATTTCAATATTTCCCTTGATCATGGTGGATTTACTAACTTCTACGGTTTGTTTTTTTCTCTCCCCCCCCCCCCCCCCCCCCCCGTCCCTCCCCTCATGGAGGGTTTTCCGCACGTATATTGTGATGTCTTGCCTCTCTATTCCTTTTCTTCACTTCTACTTGTTTGATCAAATGACGTTAATATTTGATTTGGTTCCGCTCTATTGTTCTTCTTATCCGGGTACAAAAGTATTAAAAGAGAACAACTACGAATTTCTAGTCAAATCGATTTTGATTCCTAGTCCTCAACTAAATTGTATGCATGCCTGATGCTATTAGGCTATAGATTCCTAATCGAGTAAGGAACACTGAACCTAATCCTTTTGAATGCTAAGACTTGGGTTAATGAATTATATCCTTAAAGTTAAAAGACATACATAACAAGATAGAGCGAACCAAAGAATTATTGATCATCTAAGCCTTGTGAGTAATTAAAACAGCTGACCACACTTTAACTCTCACTCCAGCAAGAGATATCTAATACATTCTGACACGAACAAAATGTTAAGTGCTGCCATTTTGTAATGTAAATAGTGAAAAAATAAACTGGCCGCCGTCTGTAACTCAATTACGCCATTGCAAAATGGTAGATCGATGTTTAGTTTTTTTTTTCCCCCCTCTTATCCATGCCTTCCCGGTACCGACTTGCTCCCAAAAGCCCGCTCTGAAAGTTGCATCAATTCAGCACTGATATTAATGATTTATCAAAAATTTCGAATTACAAGTCCTTTCGCGCGCGACCAACGGTTCTGATATCATGCCAAGAACTGTGTTTGATTTTAGGCACGCGCGATGTTAATCAAAAATATGGAACGACTAGAAGAAGAGAAAAAAAAAAGGGGGAAGAAACAGAGCAAGGGAGAGATTGAGAAGAAGGGGGACTGACTGGCCTGGCTGTTATCCAGGGTGTAGCTACCTTTTCTTTTGATCAATGAAGATTATCTTTTGTCAAAAAAAAAAAAAAAAAAAAAAAAAAAAAACTCTCGCGACGACTTTGCAGCAGTCCTCGGCCGCCGGCAAATGCAGGTTGAGCTCCCGTGAAAAGAATCATTACAACCAGGGAAGCCTGCAACAAGAAGAAGAGCAGATTCTTGTTCATATTAACTTGTAGGTTCATGCAACTGTACTACTCATGATCACCAAAAAAAAGACCTGATCTGACCTCTGCAGCATTAAATACTGAATTAGTTGCTGCTGCTGCAAACTACAAAAAGGATGGGACAAAGGCAGGCGTCGACCAAGACTTTGACGGCCGGCGACGCGTTTGGTGGGTGGGTTGGGATGGGACAGCCAGCTTATAAAAGCTCCAACTTGACTTGATTAGCTTGTGAAGGTAAGTGGTGGACGTTGTTGTCCCCAAAACTTTGGCCTATAATTGCGGAGAGATTTTAAGGCTCTAATTGAATATATATGGAAAGCTTCAAAGCTGGTGGTTGGTTTGTTTAGCTTTCACTTGGCATACCTTTACTTGAATTAAAGATTATGTTTTCATAATCATACCGGATGTTGGATAAAAAAAGTGTTAGTGATTTATAGTTCACGGAGCTCTATCAAAGTATCAAATTCCGTTGGATTCGTTGGGGATATATAGAAGCAATGAAAATTAAAGGAGAAGTTTATCCCTTGTGGGGCCGGAGAGTCACTCTTGCCAAATCGGTGCTCAGTTCCCTGCCACCTATGCAATGCGAATGACTCTTCTCACGATTTCGATCTGTGACGAAATATAAATCGCCGCACCCGCAAATTCATTTGGGGATCGACGGGTGATAGCAGGAAAATCCATCTGGTGCATTGGTAGGGAATGTGCCTCCCTAAGCGGGATGGAGGGCTCGGGTTCCGAAAGGTTTCATGAACTTAATCTAGCTTACCTAGCCAAGCTAGTCTGGGTTTTTGTGGGGAAAAACGGATGAATTGTGGGTGCAGGTCTTGCAGGCTAAGTAATTCAAGAAGATTAATGATGATCTTGTAGCAAAATCAATGGCCCGAGCCTCAATCGTATGGTGAGGAATGCGAAAAGCGTGGTCTATCATGGAGGTGGGCACTCTTATGAGTTTGAAGGATGGAAGGTCCACGAATTTCTGGACGGACCAATGGGTGGGAGCTGGCGTCGTCCTACTCGACCACATTAGAGAAGACAACCGCCTCTAGAACCCGATACCCCTATCGCCTCCTTTGTTGATAACGGTACGTGGAACATGGACTCTCTCTCGCATTATTTTCCAGACGAAGTGTTAGTACGAATTGCGGGTGTACAACCTCCTGCTGAGGGCATGTGAGAAGATGTGCCCACGTGGGGACCTGAAATCAATGGCCAGTTTAGCATTGGGTCGGCCTATGCTTTAGCTGTGGAGCATGTGGAGGGACACGATGAAACAAAATGGCACACAATACGGAGCTGGAAGGGCCATGAACGCTTCTGTCATTTCCTGTGGCTTGCGAAAAGGGAAAGGCTCCTCACCAACTGTGAGAGAGGTCGAAGAAAGCTGACAACCCTCACCTGATGCGGACCTTGCAATACGGAGGAAGAAACAGTCCTCCATGCGTTGCGGGACTGTAATTTTGTCAGGTTACCTTGGATGCAACTTATCCCACATTCTGAATACCACAACTTCTTCAAAGCTAACTTACAGGATTGGATCGAGCACACTGGCCTAGCTTTTGGCCTTACCTGCTGGTCTATTTGGAAGACCAGGAATGATCATGTCTTCGCTGGCAAGATCATATCGACCGAAACCTTTCTGCAGCATGTCCATGCATGGATAACTGTCCTGAGACAAGCCTTGGACAAGGATAGGCTCATCATTCAACCTAATTCGCCCATGAGAACGGAGGTGGAGATCTTTTGGAAGCCACCAGCTCCATAGTGGTTAACCCTCAACACAGACGGCTCCGTTCATACTGATATAGGTCACGCCGCAGCTGGTGGCCTGATAAGAGATCATACAGGCAGATGCCTCTTGGCATTTGCGATGAACCTGGATATTTTCTCTATTACCCGGGGGGAATTGAGGGGCGCGGTGGAAGGACTTCGTTTGGCCTGGGATGTTGATTTCAGACGAGTTAGACTAGAACTGGACTCTGCATGTGTTTGTCAGCTGTTACAGAGCACGAATTCTTGAGAGCATCACCATGCAGCCATTCTGGATAGAGCAATCGAGCTGCTTCATAGAGATTGGGATGTCACCATAACCCATATCTACGGGGAGGGTAACAAGTGTGCGGATTACCTGACGAATTGTGGCCATTTCGGACCTTTGGGTAGCCATATGTTTCATTTGTCCGATCATGTGCGTTGTAACTTATCTTGGTACGATATTCAATGAATCTCCGAATCTCATGTGGTTTTGAATAAAAGGTAGGGTGCAGTTGCATCCAGTTGATAAAAAAAATAAAGGAGAAGTTGTTCTGCTGTAACGGGTTGCTAACCGATAACGGATTAGTCGGTTATGACGGGTTTCCTCTTGGTAATGGTAGCCGATTGCAACTTGGCAATAGTCGGTATACCGATAATTGGGTTACCGATTATCGACCAATCACCACTCCTGAGCTTAAGCATTTCCGAAATTTTACTCGGTATAATTTCAAAAAATTCATTCAAGGATGACCATTGTGTATAATGATATATTTATTAGTTCAAATGTGCATCAATTAGTTGTACTTTTAAATAGGGCTGGGAAACGGTGCGGTCTGGTCCAGACCAGACCATATATACGGTCTACGGTCCAGACCGAGAGGTTAAAGTATAGACCACAGACTATACGGTCTGGTCCAGACCACGCCTGTGCGGTCTGGTTCGGTCTGGTCTGGTCCAGGTAGACCACACTCAACGAAAAATGAATAATTTGTTTAGTTAACCACACAAAAAATTGAACCAATAACCAAGAAAAATAATTGTTATTTGCCTTAAAACATTAATCCTAACATGCATGAATAATTTTGATACTCTAAATCTTAGTACATAACAAAGATACAAAGTAAAAGCATTCCAGCTTGCACGAGAGCGGATCTGGTGACTAAGGGGGGGTGCTTAGTCACTTGGCTAAGCCCCTCCTAGCCATTAGATCTGGACACTTCAATCCAATGGTTAAAAAGTGGGAAGGGCTATTTAATTAATGACAGGGGTAGTTTGGGTATTATGGAAAATTACGAAGTATACAAACCGGATTTACAATCAGTACAAACCATACAAACATACGAACAGTACAAACTAGAGCGACAAAACATACAAACAGATTTACAAACATTACAAACGTATGAACTGTACAAACAATACAAACTAGACTGACAAACAATACAAACCATACAAAAAGAAAAAACACCCGGGTTGACTTTGGAGGCTACATCCCTATATAGAGGGGCTCCTTCCCAAAGTCAACCCGGGTGTTTTTTAGACATACAAACAGTACGAACATGGTGGACAAAAATGACAAACTAAACCGACAATTCATACGAACGGGAAAAAACAACCGGGTTGACTTTGGAGGCTCCATCCCTATATAGAGGGGCTCCTTTCCAAAGTCAACCCGGGTGTTTTTTAGACATACAAACATTACGAACATGGTGGACAAAAATGACAAACTAGACCGACAATCCATACGAACTAGAAAAAACACCCGGGTTGACTTTGGAGGCTTCATCCCTATATAGATGAGTTCAATCCAAAAGTCAACCAGGTTGTTTTTTAGACATAAAAAACATTACAAACATGGTTGACAAAAATAACAAAGTTTACAAACATGGTGCACAAAAATAACAAGGTTTACAAACATTACAAAAAAACCCGACAAACATTACAAAATAACAAAGCATACAAACATTGCAACATATGTCAACAAACATCACAAAATTAGCTCTCTCTCTCTCTCTCTCTCTCTCTCTCTCTCTCTCTCTCTCTCTCTCTCTCTCTCTCTCTCTCTCTCTCTCTCTCTCTCTCTCTCTCTCTCTCTCTCTCTCTCTCTCTCTCTCTCTCTCTCTCTCTCTCTCTCTCTCTCTCTCTCTCAATGGCTCTTGGGAAATTCCCCTGGAATTCAATGGCACTTCATCTCTTTGGGGAAATTCCCCTGGAATTAATGGCGCCCAGGAATTGCCGACGGTAGCGGGGCACGGAGGCGGCAGGCGACGCAAAAGGGACGGGTTCCGCGCTGGGTTCATTTTGTTTATTCCTTTTATAATTAAAAATTAAATAAACATGTAATTACTACATTGCCCTTCATTAAATAGGATTAATAGGAGCCCTTGGATTTTAATGAGGTAGAGTGGCTGAGATTCACTTAGCCATGTGACTAAGGGGACCCCCCTTAGTCACCTGATCCTAGCCCAGCTTGCACCATAATGTCATAAACATTAACATAATGTCATATGGAGACACGATTATCTCTACTCTGTGGTTAAATGTGGTTGTGAATGAAGGAGGGAAGAGATTCACAAAATTAAGGTTGAGACTTGGGTGTCGTTGTAGGAGTTTGGAGAGTGGTCGAATAGGCTGTTAACACGTATTGATAAGTCAGTTGGGTCTACGGTTTGGTCCGGTAAACCGCGGTCTAGACCAGACCAAGAGATCAAATCATAAAATAATACAGACCATGGACCAGACCAGACCATACTTCACGGTCTACGGTCCAGACCAAACTGTGCGATACGGTTTGGACCACGGTTTTTCTAACGGTCTGGTCTATTTTCCCAGCCCTACTTTTAAATCAACCAAATAACATAAATTAAAATTTAAAATTCCATAACTAGATTAAAATACGTCGAATTTACAATGGATATGCTTCAATAACTAAATTATAATACGTACAATTTACAATGCATGCATCGAATATATTCAAAATCGAGAGTGTACCATCCATTTCCGTTTTACCGCTACAAAGTTCAAGGTAAATCTATTAGAAAAATCAAATATCATCGACAAATTGAACATGTACAATATATCATATTATATAATTAAGTTGGTCGTTCTAGCATAGTCTTTTTTTTATATTGATAGATTCTAGCATAGTCTTTTCACTCCATGATGATGGTTGCTATATAAACCGAATCGAACCGAATTATAATTCGGTTCGAATTTGGTTTGAGATGTGGGAGAATTCGGGGACTTGGTATTCATAATTTCAGTTCGGTCGAAACCGAATCGACTGAATGCCCACCCCTAATTATATAGAGAGGCTTATCCATGCCCTCCCCGCAACGACTTGCTCCCAAAAGCATACCCTGAAAATTAATTTTTTTGATGAATGTGAAACTATATTAGAAAAAGAACAGAGAAAATTCAACAAGTAGAACACCCTGAAAATTAATTAGAAAACACAATTAATTACACCCTACGTACTTACGTATATACTACTCGTTAATGACTCGTCATAACTATGCATTGTGCACTACTAATAACATCTAAAATTAAATTCGAATATCATCATTATAAATTAAAATAACTAAAATTGATTATAATCATGAGAGAAATCATAGGTAAAAAAAAATTCTACAAAACTCCATATCATACTAGCCTGATATGAATTGTATCACTCTAATACGATCATATAGGAGAATGGTACTAACGATTTGTATCAGGTACATAGGTTTTATAGCCTAATTATAATGATACCCATAACCTGTTAAGTGGTACTAGTAAACGAGCATTTGTGTGTTAGTAATACAATCTAATGTTCCAAATTAGTAGTAATAACCGAGATAATGACAATGGATATGAAGCCAGAAATCTGAACGCGAGAATTTAATGTCAAAGAACCTAACCTCGAATGATTTGAACCATAATAAATAAATGGGAGTGAAATTCTTGCTAATTTTAATCTATTTCTCAGTTTTGTTAGAAAGTTTACCATGGGATTTCTCGTAGTGGCGTCGGACGACGGTGAAAGGAGGCGGCGGTTGATTGTGAAGTGGAGGTTCGGCGGCGGAGTGACCTGGCGGCGGGGGGACAGGCGGGCTGGCCGTGGGACTCTGGAGAAGAGAGGTAGGCTGAGCTCCCATAAAAAGTATCTGGAAAACCAGTAAAAGCGGCAGAACCTTGTTCATGATTAAAGAAAATAGTACGATCTTGGTCTGAAGACTCCATGGCTTAAAATACTGAGGTTTCATTGCCACAAATGATGAAGTTGGGAGCAGAGCAATAGCTAAGAGGTAGGCATTGACGACGAAGTCACCAAAGACTTTGACGGTATTTGGTGCGATCATGGAGTGAGTTTTTAATGTTCAGTGGGTTGGCCAAGTGACACGAAGTTATATATTGGATTCCATCTATATATTAATTTTCTTCCCTATGAATTATAGTCTCATGAAGAATTTTGCTAATTCTTGTTGTTATATGTTATGGTATGAAAATATCATATCAATATTCGTTATGAACGAATGATGGGGATTCCATTGATATAAAACAAATTCCATTAATTCACCCACAGTAGATTTGTAGATTAGAAATAGTGTGGCTTAATCATTCTGTTTGTTTATTTTATGTACAGTTTATTTTTTTATTATTTTTTTATTTTTTTATTTTTTTTTTGCTATTTCAACAGTTGAACATGTATATATATTGTAATAATGTAAATATATCTGATCACACGTTCGCAGTTTAACAGCATTCTTAACATTGATTATATCGGTTCTGATTCCTGCACTTTGAAGTGTTGGAAATTTAGTCCACCTTTCCTTCGTTGGAGAGGTACCTAATTAGCTATGATTTCTTTCTAGTTGTGGTCGGCTTTACTTTGTAGAATAGAATCTGTGTTCCCTAATTGACAAAATTTGCTGCTGGAAACTGGAAAGTCCATCCCTTCTGTAATTTTTAGTTGTGCGTTGGTGGGTCGTTATTTGCCAAAGTGCATTACACGCAGCTTCCATTGAAAAGTAGTTTCCTACCAAACAACTGAACAAGTGAAACCAAAGTTTGGCGCTTTCGCCAAAATGGCCTTGTGATGATTCCAGGTAGTAATGGATAGATATAAGGTGATTACCTGCCCTGTTCTAGATGTATAGAGAAAGAAAGGAGAATCGACATCTTACAAGGCAATCCGAAACAGAAGAGATATGAAAGAGCGAAACAAATCATGCACCAAAAGTATAGTTCATGGCATCATTTCAAAGTTCTTGATCATTCCCATACTGCCGTCCATTGCTTCTCGAGGAAATCCCCCTCTCCATTGTAGTTTTGATCTTTCAATCAAAACACAACAGACTAGCCTGTCTTATCTACATCCCTGATCACTGCTAAACCACAGTAAGTTTTTACTCGTTCCAAAATGCCAAACCTAACAACAAAGAGATGATTGATTCATCAATTTTGATTCCAAGCAACAAAGACGTAACGAAAAGTAGCAGACAACCATCCATCTCGTCCCGTCCTCGGATCCAGGAGAGAAGATCCAATGAACTAGTTCTTCCCAGTGGCCTTCATCTCCAACTCGTGGAGGTTCAGCAGCAAATCGTTCGAGGCAAGGAAGATCTTGTTCGACGAATGCGACATTGTCTGTGCAATCTCTCTGGAAGCTTCAATCTTCCTCAGGGTGATGAAAGCAGGGTTGTTTGCAATTGCTTGTCCGATCAGCTGAGCACTCTTGGCTTCACCCTGTTGGCATACAGAGTTGGGAATTAAGACCATGGCACGTCAAATAACTGAGAACTGTAGGTACAATCAAGAATAAGGATGATTTACCAACCTCTGCTCTGATAATGGCACTCCTCTTGTCCTGTTCAGCCTTCTCCACAATGAACTTAGCCCTCTCTGCCTCCTGAGCAGCCACTTGTTTCGCCTCAATTGCAGCAGTGAACTCTTTCCCAAAAGTCAGACTAGTTATGGACACATCGTCCAGTGCAATGTTGAAATGCTTTGCCCGCTCTGTCATGATGCTCCTTATTTCCCTGCTAACAGCCTGACATAAAGAGTCACAAATAGACATGACTCAGCACAAACACAATTGAGCTACCAGTTAGAACATATTCAAACAAAACAAAGCATAAAACTGTTGTTGATACATTTAATATCGTGTAATCCTTGGGGAAAAGAAAGAGCAGACATACAATAAAGGACAACAATCACAGGAAGGGGATAAACTACAAGAAGAAAGAACACCATGTGAACAACAATGAAATTAAGGTCACCCTACCTCTCTCTGAGTGATGAGCTGGCTGGCATTGTACCGCGCAACCACCGCTTTCAGAGTCTCATGAATGATATTAGGCAGCACTCTCTCATTATAATTGGTACCAAGGCTCCTAAAGATTGTGGGCAACTCTTCCGCGACCGGACGGGTAAGGACTCGAAGCCCAATCTTGACCTGTCAAGGAAATTCAAGACACAGAATGGAACTTAAATTTCAATAGCAGAAGACCAACCGTGCAAACAGATTCACCAAACCAAAAACTGGCCTTGATTTGAAAAATGATTGAAATGCTCGGGTTTACAGAAGTCAATGTTTGCTCCTGAGCAACAATGATATCTATATACCAGATATAATCACTGTAAGCACAAAGTAATTTCAGATCTCCTACCAACACACATCACATTATATCCAACTTTAACATAGCTCACAGGCTTCAACCCCTCATAGATTGTTAATTCCAACTTGTAACCGAGAGGATGTATGAATCAGCAGAAATTATAGCCCACCCACCGTATAGTTCAAAAACTTGTATGTAATGGCAACATAAAAGGAAACATAACTAGCAGAAGCAAGAACGAAAATCCAAAGGCACATGCTTGTCATCTGGTGGGTTTTCATGACAGCAACTACATATTTTCCTAGCATCTAGATAAATCCACCGAGACCAATCAATCAACATAAAGATGCAACTCCAGCTGACAAACACGACCGTCTCCGCAACAACTTACAGGCCATGGGATGAACCAACGCCATATGGTGGTGCAGAAAACATGCATCGGAAGTTCCTAGGATGAGTTTAGGATCCAGCTCAACAACCATGGGAAACAAACCAGAAATAGGCCAATGCAAAAACTGAATCATTACAACAAACTTTAACATTAGACAACAATGCAGTATTCATACTAGCTACGTTTCCCGACTTTGTCATCAAGAACAAAACAAACCAATCACCAGAGAATCCGCCATAACATAGAAGGCAGCAAACACAGCAGATAAATTGAATTGAGTGTATGAGCAAACATCACTGCCCAATAAAAACAATTCCAGATCCTAAACACAGACTAAAGAGGGAGCGAGCAAAGCTTACCATTTGAAGATCACGGCTTCCAGATGTACTCTCCACAAGATGAGGGCGAGCCCTGACGTCATAGATAATCGGGACTTCAAACCACGGGAAGATAAAGTGGGTTCCTTCTGGGAAAGTCTGCTCGACAGCAGCAAGTGAGAGTAAGAAACCGGAACAAAAAAGGGGGGGAATATCGCGACTTAGGGTAAATTAATTCGTCCAAAACGGGAACAATCAAATTAAAGAAGTTAGAGACACTGAATCACAAACCCTATTCTTGATGCCGGTAATCCGGTTGAAGACGATGGCACGGTGTCCACCTTCAACATTGTAGAGGGAGTTCGCAGCGGCGTAAACGGCAATTCCAGCGGCGACTCCAAACTTGACCAGCGCAGATCCCACTTGGGCGGATGGAACCCTGGGGTTGTTCTTCGAAGCCATCTGCGCAAGTACTGAAACAGCCGAAAAGAGAGAGTCAAAAAATCGTGGACGAACAGATCGCTCCAACTCCCAGAATCCACAGAAACAAGAAAACTAAGACGAGTAGAGAACAAGGAGGAGGAAAGGGATGGAGAAATTCCGGTAAGGGACGGCGAAGCAAAGAGACGAACCTCAACTGAAAGCGGCGGAGACGGGAGAGAGGTGAATTGCGAGGCGAGATTTGGGGTCGAGAGGAGACGATCGGTGCAGCGGCAAGCAGCTCACTTGCCTCTCTCCTTAGGGCTTTTAGGGTTTATGGTCTGAGTCTGACCCGACTTGGATAATAAGTCAGTTTAGTATTTTTAGATTTTGCAATTTGATATTTATTTTCCGGGAGAAATTTATTATTATTATTTTATGGTTGAAATTGATTAAAGAAAATATAAAATTGGGAAAAACAAAAAAAAAATAGGAAGAAAGTGGAGATGCGGGGTATCGATCCCCGTACCTCTCGCATGCTAAGCGAGCGCTCTACCATCTGAGCTACATCCCCTATGTTGAACTGTCTGATCTTTGATACTAAATGGGTTAAAGACACATTTGGTCACTGAGATTACAAAATCGGGACATGTTTAGTCACTAGAAAAATTTAATATCAAATTTGGTCACTACAATTACTAAAACTGGACGCATTTAGTCACTCGCCGTTAGTCTCCGTCCAACTCCGTTAATGAAGTCCGTTAAGTGCTGATTTGGCAAACAGAATTGCCTAATCAGCCGGATATTAACCCAACAAAAATAAAACCCGACCCGCCACGTCATTATAACCCGCCACCTCATTAAAACCAACCCAACCCAACCCATCACCCAACCCTACCTAACCCTTCTTCCTCCTTCCTCCCCAACCCAATTTAGGGTTTTCCCCATTAATCTGCCGGCCGCCCTTCCTTCATCTTCTTGAGGAATGTGGCGGTGCCGGCTCGGAGCTCGGTGGTGAAGATTCAGGAAGCTACTCTTGCTCTCCTTCTTCTTCTTCTTGTTCACCTCCCCCCTCTTCCTCTCTGCCTCTTCCTTAGACAGCGATGACGACGATGAGCAACCACAACTGCCCAAGAAAAAGAGCAGCAGCAGCCTATCATCATCACAAGCAACACCAAGCACCAAGCTTTCTAAATCTACCATTCCCTCTGCTAACAAGAATCAGACCATGAAATTCACCAAGAAGACTACTACCAACTCTGCTGCTATCGGAGATACTCTGTCTTCTTCTTCTTCGAGTGGTAAGAAGAACCAGACCAAACTTATTACCACCAAATCCTCCAACTCTACTAAATCAACATCACCCACCAAGTCCAAGGCCAGCAGCAGTAGCGATTCTCTACTCACCACGAAGAAGAAGCCCACCAATTCCACAGCTGATACTGCTCAGCTCCTCAAGAAGAAAGACAAGAAGCAGCAGCTCAATTCCACTTCCACTCCCACACCCACCAAAATCAAAACCCTAGTTTCAGATCCATCAATCAAGCAATCAACTTCCCCCAAAAACAAAACCACCTCCAAATCACCCACCACAACCAAATCCCAAACCCTAACCCCCAAGCCAGCTCCTCGAACGCGTCGGCCACCTGCGACAAGGCCGTCTGCTGCGATCTGGGGGTTTCCGCCATTGCAGCAGAGTCGGCCATTTTAACTCGACTGAACAACTACGTGGCCGGAAGCAGAGTCGGGAAGCAATTCAAACTCGATGAGCGGAACACTTGCTTCACCACCAAGCTCCGAGCCGGCACCGCCACATTCCTCAAGAAGATGAAGGAAGGGCGGCCGACAGATTAATGGGGAAAACCCTAAATTGGGTTGGGGAGGAAGGAGGAAGAAGGGTTGGGTAGGGTTGGGTGATGGGTCGGGTTGGGTTGGTTTTAATGAGGTGGCGGGTTATAATGACGTGGCGGGTTGGGTTTTATTTTTGTTGGGGTAATATCCGGCTGATTAGGCAATTCTGTTTGCCACATCAGCACTTAACGGACTTCATTAACGGAGTTGGACGGAGACTAACGGCGAGTGACTAAATGCGTCCAGTTTTAGTAATTGTAGTGACCAAATTTGATATTAAATTTTTCTAGTGACTAAACATGTCCCGATTTTGTAATCTCAGTGACCAAATGTGTCTTTAACCCGATACTAAATATATATGTAATTACGGTTCCTAATTTCTCCACTCAACCTCATCCAACCAGTCTTTTCATCAACTTGTATGCAGTACAGAGAAACCATATCTGCATCATATTCATCAAACTTTTGACACCCATTTGGAACTATTGTTGAATCAGGGTTTCGTTTACCAAAAAAATCAATCCACAAATTTCAATAATCTCCCAAAACAATGGCCTACTTTCGACCAGTAAAGAATGAACGACAAGCTCGAGTTATATAAACATGAAGAAGCAAACTTCACAAAAGAAGGTGCTTTACGAGCTAACTACAACATGAACTTGGGGACAAGGCGACGTCTGGATCCTGACATCAAAAGTTGATGATCATAACTCAAGAGGTAGCGAAAAAAGGAGAAGCAGCAGCTAAGGATATCACTTATACCTGACAAAGCAAGATCTCAACCTCCTCCGACGGTTCGAATCATCCACTTGTAGCAAATACAGAGAAACCATAGGTGGATCAGATTATTCAAACGTTTCGTATTCGTGACTATTGCAGAATGCAAGTTTCATTCATCAAAGAATCAGTCTACGCAATGTCAATAATCTCTCAAAACAATGGCCTACATTGAACTAGTAAAGAATGATTGCCAAGCTTCATACAAACAAAAGGGGGGTAAAAAAAGAAACAAAGAATTACCATATACATATAGTAACTTGAAGAAGCAAACTTCACAGAAGAAAGTGCTTCTACGTTTTATATCGTTAAAGGATGTGTTAAGCTAAGCTATGCTAGAAGGGGCTGACTTTGCGAGCTAACTGCAACATGCACTCGGGAACAAGGCGACGCCTTGGAGGGGCCACCTTGTCTTTGGCTTCAGCCTCTTGGTCACCGGCGTGAACTATGGATACCAAATCCTCGAACATTTGATCTTTGCCACCTCTCATTGGATCCTGACATTAAAAGTTGATGATGAATCATTACTCAAGAGGTGGCAAGAAAAGGAGCAGCAGCAGCTAGGGAGATGACTCATACCTGAAGAAACAAATCTGTGTGGGTCTTGCCTTCGTATGTAATTGCCTCAGCCCTGACTCCAGCTCCCTTGAGCGTTTCAGCAAAACTAGTGCTGCAGCAGATTGAATTTTTTAGTATACATATATACGAGCCACAATGATTTGTTCATCATATCAAGGGTGTAGGTAAGATTCTCACCTGGCCTCTGAGGGGATTGAATAGTCTGCAGTGCCATGGAAAAGAACGATTGGAGGCAGGAGAGATATTGCATTTTTCAAGCTTGGATCCTGGGCTAGTACTTCTGGGGAAAACCGTCTTAAAGACTCTTCACCTTCCATTATGCTGCACTAGGTCAGCCCATGGCCGAATCAAAATATGATCAAGCCAAATTTTGCAGTTGCCTACAGGGTGTAAAAGAGAACTACATCTACCTTAAAAATATGGATCGATACAGACCCCGGCTGTGGAAGTAATCTACCAGGTTGAACAAGTTATACCTGTTTTGCAGAGGTTATCAGTACACATGAGTAAGAAAGGATCAAATTAAGTTTACCTCAAATTTGTTTACTTCATACCCTCCTGATAAACCAAAGTATGCCTTTATCTGAGAAACACTCCAAGAAACATTCTCTCCTTCAACAGCTTCTTTAATTGCTTGCTCAACAAGGGCACAGCAAGCTATGTGTGCTCCAGCTGATTGCCCCATCAAATAAATCCTACACCAATTGTAACATGAGGATATGAATGGCCAGGAAGTTGAGAAAGTGAAACAAAGAAGAAAGCGTGGGGTTGCAATATTACCTATTAGGATCACCTCCATAGTCCGCTATCTTTTCGCATACAAATGAGATACCTTGACATGCATCCTGCACCATGTTGCTCATCGTGCCTTGTGGGAAGTTCCTGTAACCGTGAACAAGAGAGGTTGTATTGGATGAGTAGCCATTGACATGAAATGCACACTCTTTGCAAGGAGTGTGGAGTCGAATCATTTTTACCTATAATCTATGCAAGCCACTATAATGTCTCTTTCCGATAATTGCCATCCTAGCAGGGAACCCCAAGCTTTGTACCTGCACCAGCAATACCAGAGTTTCTCAAAGCATTCTCTAAGGAAGCATTGATGATGCAAGAAAATATAACTCAGGCAAATGATTTGCTGAGAACCAACGACAAATCAACACTACTCACCCAATTATCCATGCTCCACCAGTTACAAACGCAACAACTGGCTTTGGTCCATCGCTATTCTTCGGTATATACAGATCGATCCTGCATGAAAATTCATACATTACTCTTTGCTGCAGATTATGTCAGCAACATTATGCATAAGCATCAATCACCGGGGGGGCCTACCTATTTCGTGGTTGATCGCCATAAACTACACTTCTGATCACTTGCTTGGAGAAGAAATAATAATATCCAACTGCACACAAAGATAGAAGCTTTAATGCTGGATGGTAACTTAACATTAGTAGGAAAGCAGTGTGGGCTGTGGGCATCACAAACCTTGAATGAAACCCGGCATAAGCATCAACGAGTAGAAACCAAGAGCAACAAATCTCATCACCCATCTATAGCCTACCCTGAATAAGCAGAAATGCTCAGCAACCACAATTGTTTGCAGAAATGCCATTACGAAACAAAGCAGCACAAACCAAAAGAGGAAGAATTCAAAAACAATGAGTACCCAAGATAGGTCAAGAGCTGCAAACTCAATCTGGTAAGCAAAAACGTCTCGGCCGCCGCATGACCCACTTCACGGCTCAACGACTGCTGCCGGCCGCTCCCTTCATCCCCCGCCCCACCACCACCACCGCCACCATCTGAGCAAACAATCGAGGAAAGCAGACACGTTTCACTAGCCGTCCGACGACGCCTCTTCTTGTTGCTGTGATCATAAAACTTGCCCAACCCTTCGCTACTGCTACTACCACTACTACTAGTACTACTTCTGGCAGTGGAAATACCTGAAAAACTAGAATTCCGCGACAGCAGAGGCTTCTTGTGGGATGTGGTAATCTCGTCGGAGGAAGAAATCAGGAGCCGGGTTGAAGGGTCGTCGATGACTAGGTTCATCACCATCTGATTCACACTCTCCTCTTCGTCTTCTTCTTTGATCGACAGCGACGTCTCTGCAATTGGCGGCGAGGAGGAATTCCCCAAATTTTTGGGGGATTTATGGTGGTGGTGGATTGTGGTGACGGGGAGGATTTGGGACGACGGCATTATAGTATCGTGGTGGTGGTGGTGAATGATCTGGCGTGGGGAGGGAAATGGGCAGTGGGAATCTCTTGTCTGGCGGGTGATTTGGTCGTTTGCGCAGTGAGAAACAAGTGAAATTTTTTTTTTTTCTCGGCGGGGTGTTTGGTCGCTAGGAATCGATAGGAAACGGAGAGGAATTTTCTCGGGAATTTGTTCATGGCCGGTTGGAAAATTTCATCTTTGTTTCTCTGCGCTTCTCCGTTTGCCCCGAATTGGAGACGAATCGGCAACCAACCAGATCTCCCAGCCGGCCAGCCGGGAAGGTGGGGTAGTTCGGTCAGAGTTTTGACGGATCGCTTCTCTTCTCCAATGAGAGCTTGCCACATGACTCAATTTTGTTGGATTTTCTGGAAGCATTGGCCAATTGGGTAAGTAAGGTACTATTACTCTCGGGATTTGCAACGGGTGATTCGTCGAGTTTTGGAGAATGACGCCCAACATGATCGAGATGAGGTGCGGTCCTTGAGGAAGTTCGGTTGCTGAAAGCCTTCTTCTCGGTTATTTGTTTTGGTTTTTTCTTCTCGTAGAACTAACAGAACTGTCTATTGCGTGGCAAAAACGCGGTCTTGCATCGTTAGCTCAACATTTGATTGACTACCGCTATTTACTTTTCAACTCTCTGTAATTCCCTATCTATTAACGATCTACCTATAACAAAAAAAAAAGTAAGGTAGTATTACTTTTTTTTTTTGTGAATTGCACTTAGGCCACTTGATTTATCAAATATATTTCCACTTATACCTCGGGAAAGTTTTCCCTTTTTACTAGTCATCGACTTCACATTTTTATTTCATCACTTGTTATTGTCTTCCTATTACATTAAATTTGTCCTACATGGCAGTTCAATAATATCCTTGAGGTGAATTTCCTAAGAAACCATGCAAAGAGGCTCTTTGTCTTATTAGTTTGATGATTTTGAGGAGTATTTTTTGGCATGCATCATTTTGGCATGTATTTTTTTTTTTTTGTGCAAATTTTGGCATGTATTTTAATTCCAAAGATTAATTTCTAACAAGATAATGGTGAGCAGTCCATCCAGCGATATTTAATTTATAAATCGTGATAAACGTAAATTAAAAAAAATAAAGTTAACTCTATAAAAAAAAAGTTAAATTTAAACTCAAAAGATTCAATTACTATTAGTTTCATCAAAATGGGTTCAAACTTCGATGTATGATTCCCACGTTACCATTAGCACGCAATCGGCTGCCCATACCGGAAAATGTCAAATTGCCTAACGGACCAAAAATATGTGCGGCTGGCGAGTTGAGTTGGGTTGAATCATATTCCCACAAGTTGTCAAACCGGTTTATACCAGTGTGCTGGTTTAGCAAGTGGAATGGTTCGACCGATGATACATACCGGTTTGTGCCGGTTCATGCCGGTTAATATTACAAATAATTTACAAATACTCATATTTAAACACGACATTTAACGTCAATACCTAAATATTTGTACTTGGATCCAACAAATAACATCAACATTTAACTTTTTAACACATAAAATAAATAATATATTATTTTTTATCAATTAAATTCACTAAGATAATGTCATTTTACTTGGAGATTCGTATATCGATCATGCCGGTCATACCGGTGGTGTCATGTCGGTTTTATGACCGGTACAAGTTGAACAAGGTTCAACCAGTGGCACGCCGGCCCGGCGTGACAACCATGTATTCCCAGCATAGTCCCAAATCCCAATACGTAAACGCCAATCACAGTACATGTGATTTGGGCTGACAGTTGGAATTCAGGTAATGCCAAATAGGTCGGCCCAAATTTGACTGGATAAATTAGTATGTGGACATGCATCTCGAGCTCGTGTGCCCAATTTCTTTTGAGGCCGCAGATGAATCCACTGTCGGGGAGGGCGGCAATAACATTAACATGCACGAAGACATTATGACAACCATTTGAGATAATGCCCTGGATCTGAAAACTTCATGTAGCACGTTATAGTAGCGCCAGATCTGCAAAAAGCAACGTAAAAGAATATACTTGTGGGTTTGCCTGTTAATGAATCAAGTCGCTTAGAAAATACTCGGCATTCGATACACGACTCGTTTTTAACAGCGGCGGATCCAGGATATAGTAGAGTACTGGGCCGTATTTCATTAGAAAATTAGAAACCGTACAAAAATATAACAACCCTAGTTTTTTTTTTTTTTACAATGTTGTACACGACAGTTTTAAATTTAGCGAATTCATCAATAATGGAGTCTATATTCATACTAATGATACACTCTCTCTTTCGAATAAAATAGTTAAGCAACCGAAAAGAAATTCATCTCTCAATTGTTGCACAAATTAGTTTTCTCATGTTTCGTTGTTGAAAATGTTCTCTCCGTAGTAGCTGTTGAACGAGCAACATCAACACCAGACAAATCAATCAACTAATCAATTTATATTGGGTGTCCATCCCTATTTCCACTAGCCGCTCTAGTAATTTTTCAAGGGAACAAACCCGATATTTCTTTTAGTCTTTTGTGTTTTAAACTTTTAAAATTTTAGGTTTCAATGTGTTTTTTTTTTTACCAAAATCATTGAGGATAGAATTTCTAGGCTAAATTTAAAGTAGTGATTTGAATATGTTCATCTAAACCATTTTTCTAGTTACACACAATCTTATTATAAAATACACTGGGCCAAATGTCTGAAATTGGAAATTTTTATAAGGGCTATACTAGTTTCGGATCCAGAGGAGGGTTGGGTTGTGGCCGGAGGTGGCCACCTCCTGGATCCGTCGTTGGTTTTTAATTGAACCGGTTCGCGAACAACTTCGTCAATTAATGAGCAGAGTTCGAGCCATGACATGTTCAGCTCGATGGACTGACGAACGAGGTCGAAAGACTTTAGAATATGATTTTGAGCCGAGTTCAAGGCTTCAAGCTCAACTCTGAGCTACAATCGACATTTTATCACCCGAACTCGATTTTTTGCTCGTTAAACTCATTTGACAAGGCGAGCTCGAGCTTCTATTTTTGTAAACGAGTCGAGCTCCAAATTACCTAGTAAAATCTTGTTTCGAACTCCAGCTGAACTTGAGTCTAGAATTAATTTAACTAGCTGAGTCCGTACTATGGTAAACCTCGGCTCGAATTATTAACGGCCCTAGCTACTTGTGTCTACTTTTATGGACAGGTTGAGGTCGGCAATTGGGCTATCTCAATCAACCCCGGGCAAAGCCCAGCTGAAGGAGGAGACGTTTTGGGCTATCTCGATCAGGTCCAGTGCAGGACCACAGCGGCCCGCATCTGGTGGCGGGATGTTTTCAAGGGCTCCAACACTATCGAGCGTTGCAAGTCCAGCCACGTTGGCCGTTGCTTGCAATCTTCATCGTCGTTGATGCCATGGCACATGGTAGCAATTAAAACCGAAGTATTAGCTTCGCTTCGAAGTTCAAATGCGAAGTGGCGATGGAAAATCGTGGTCATAGAAAATGTGGCGTACTTAAATTGGTAATGAAACGTTGCATGTATAATTGCTTTTTGCATATGAATAGAAATGGTAATTTCAACCACACCCGTCGAGTATTACGTGACTTGATCCTCGATGAGATGGGTTTCATCTAACTTGCAGTAGCGTGTAGTGGTGGACCAAGATATTTTATATAGAGGTGTTCTCTTTCAAAAATTAAAGTAAAATAAAAATAATAAATAAATCATTTTTAAATTAGAAAATACCCAACTCGAACAAGTTAAAAAAAAAAGTCTATATGATGTATTTTCACATTCTGAGAACATTTGTAAAATACACGTGGTGCTTACGCTGCTCATTCACGAACTAACGCATATTCGACTTCTAAATTTGTTCTTAAAGTAACTCAAAACTGAAAAGACTTTCAGCACTTGTCGTACAACCATAAAATCAATACTAATTAAGAGTAGCTTGTAATTAGATTAATTGTTAGGTTTTGAAAATAATGAAAGATAGAGAATAGGATTTTGCTATTACAAAGTGTGTAGAATAGAACAACAAAAAGTTGTAGCCTAATTGAAATTATATTTATTAATAATAGTAGTGTCTCGGGTTTGAATTACCCAAATTACCACTTATATTCTCATACGCAAACTATAAACGAGAGTAGGATAATCGTTTTTTCAAATTTCAGGGTGTCCCGAACTATTAATTATATTTTTTTCTCCATACGTAAATGACCACCAGAGGTTGGGTAATCGTTTTTCCAAATTTTAGTGGTGTCCCGGGACAGCCCTAAACCCACTGGGTCCGCCCCTGGTAGCGTGGGACGGAGCATTGGCATCTGCTTCCGACCCAACCTACCCCGTCCGCCCCTTTTTTGCTCATTCTATCTCAATTTCTTACAATATATATTCATATTTTTCTTGTTTTGACTTTTCTTCAACTAGTTAGACTTGATCTTTCAACTAGGTAGACTCAATTATAAATTCTATTATCACTATTGTTCATTTATAAAAGCGTTTTCTTAATGTTTCGTTGTAAAAAGTAAAATTTTGCATTTATTTCTTTCAAGTAACAAGTAAAAGTGGACCGACACGACACGACCCGCCCCGCCTCACCCCACCCACCCCACCGAGCACCCACACTTATATTACCCGTCCCAACCTGCGCTTGTTGTAACATGTAAAGTTAAAACCCTAGCCGCGTCTCGTTCGATCATTCTATTCCAAAATGACAACATTTTGTCGTTGAGCAGAGAAACCGAAAACCATGGTCAGACCATCAGGTTTCCCAATTTTGACAGGCTAATGCTCAAAAGGACCTGTCTAATAATGGTTTGACAACCTTGGCTACTGGTCATCATCACGTACATTGTTTGTCTACCTATATATTAAGTTATTCACTCCCCTGATTAAATCACTCCAAACTCACAGCATCTCGAGGATTCCCATTAAACAAAACAAGCAAGCACATCCTGCCAAACCATATGTGATCTTTGTTGTCAGCCTTGCCAACTAGTTTAAATATATCATGCTGTAAATTGACCATGTATATTATTTATTGGGTAGAGGCTAGATTTTAAAACCCACGAAAGTGGCGATGGAAAGAGGACGTAGATCAACCAACGTGATTGGATTCAGTAGTTGTCGTCGATCAACCAACGTGAAATTTTGGACTCTCCCTTAATTAGCTCGTCCCCAGGGAGGCTCAATGGAACTTTTATCCATCGTTCTCTTTCTTGAAAATGAAGGTTTATTCAAGTACTAGTGGGAGACTTATTATAAGCTCGTAATTGTTGATCACATCAGATGATCAAAGCTTGGCAGGCTAATACGGAATCTCTCTATGGGTGCGTTTGGAT